TATTCAATTACTTTTTTAATCCATACAAACATTCTATAGCATGTATGCTTTTGTATTGTAATTTAGCTGCATTGAAAGCCGCTTCATACCGCTTGTTACCTTTAATAACACTAATTTGATCGACAAAATCGGTTGCTTGATCATATTTAGCTTTCAAAAAACAAGCTAATTTGAGCACAGGACTAAGCATTGAAAGAGCTGTACATTCATCTGGGTATTCACTGACGTATAAAGAAAATATTGGATGAATCAAAGCTAATGCTGACGATTTCAAAAATATACTGTTCATTAATTCCATCGTAACTTCACAGCATCTTTCCGTGTAGTATTCTGGCTCATAGTTGTAGACATTGTTACTGACTCTGCGTATATAATCGTTGTTAATATATGATAAGCATGATTGACCTAAAATACATAACATTCTATGTATTTGACGAACACATCTTTTCCTGTTGAGTTCTCTAATTGACTTGATTCCATTTTCAGAATTAGAATCGATTCATCATAAATTGATTTCGTAAAGGAAAACAGATGAGGCGATATTTTGAACTGAAGAGAATGAAACTCTCTTACCTTCAACCAATGGTGCACAATAGAGCAGAATCGAAACGATACCGATAATCGAAGTTTTAAACATTTGGTTGTAATAAAAAATGCAGTAGTTTTTCTCTCAATTAAAGGACCTTTTTATACTGCATAAATAACGCATGTGGCATGATTTTCAGGTTTCTTATAGAATCACTAACAAATCAAATTTTTTCGATTAAAAAGAAAACGTTTGACTCATTTTTCTTACCATCGAAAAAATTGACGGGATATTGTATTCTTTTTCTGTTCGACAGGAAAAAAAGGTTTTATTGCTTGTAAAAGGAAGTGATTCATAAGTATTTCGTTCGTCATATGCATATGTTCACGGCCACAGAGAATCGAATAGAAAAAAAAACGAAATTAGTTTAGCTTTCAAAAGACTAGGATTCCTATCAACAAAGTGTTCTTGTAAGTTATTTATTTCAATTATATTTGGTATGTGTGAATCGGATAACTGACAGATTATGATAAAGCTCGAATATGATTGACGTCAAAGAAACTCCTTCCCTAAGGACTACAAAAATTTAAAAAAATGACATAACTTTCGAAAATTTTACGTCAAAAACACGAAAAAAATGGCATTTCTGATTATGAAACGGACATTATTCTAATGGTATTTTTTGGTTTTTGTAATCACTGGCTCAGGTTTCTAATAGGCTCGGTTCAGAATTTATCAAGATCTTGCTCGACACTTCAAAGATGCCTTCGTGCATTCTTATCTTGAAACTTTGTAATTGCAAATGAGAACTCCAAGTCTGACTTCTTGAATCCAATCTATCGTTTGATCGTTTGCTTTTGAGCTTATCTTGAGTACAAAGCTATAAGAAATCGTAGTCTTCGCAACCCTGTTCTTACGTTGAGCCAAAAAAAAACCGTTAAATTTGGCAATTAAAAGAAAATTAGTCATTGTTACTGACTGAAGCCACATTCCATTCCACAATGCAAGTTTACAGTCAAATAACTTATTCAACTGTCTCCGTTTGTGAGTAGCACAAGGCTAATCATTTTTAAATGTTCATTTACAACGAACTTCATATAATATATTTCTGCACCCAGTTACAATGTAGGAGAAAGTTCTTCGAATGTTGTATCGTACTCTAAGGGTGGGGTGTGGGTGTGGGCGTCGCGGTGTGAGTCTTCTCTTTGGTATCCTCTACATCCACACCCCACACCCTAGACAACAACTAATTCAATTTTTGTGGACTCATTAAATAGATCTTGTAAAAGGATGGTTACTTTGATTTCTATGAAATCGTTAGAAAACTCTTGTAAAACAACAATTACTTATTATTAACCGCGATCTACAAGATGTTTTTGATGAATTCATATAAAAATTACAAATTTATTGCGCGAGTGTCTCTTTTTTTTGCAGATCTTGTTTCACTTACCAATATGTGATAAATATTAATTATATACTATTCGAAGGAGGAGGAAATTTCCTATGAACTGATAAAAAAATATTCTTTTTGAAACACTCATATCGAAGAGATTAGGGATCAACATTTTGTGCGGTCTTTTTATTGAACAAGTGCAGATTCTTTTTGAGGGTGTTTCTGTTTTGTGTTGCGTCCTTTTGGTCTATGAAGAACAAAAAATGTATGTTGAGCCCATTAGAACTAAAGAATATAATTAGATTTTATATATTTCTATGGGAATTTTTTTTGTGTCTTCATAATCAAATAGAAAATATTGATCGCGAACTATGACAATTTTTATACAATTATCATACCACCTAATGTTGATTGAATAATGATCAAGATTTATTTTCTTGGACTACAACTAAAAAATAAAAATTGGAACTCAAATATTGATTTGTATATATAAATCGTGTCATGTTTCCGCATTTTTTTCACATGATAGATGTTGTCTTGAATCTATTTTGTAGATATTTTCCCTTAATCTGCTGAAAAAGTATCTGCAATCAAGATGTAGCCAATTGTTTAACCTATCATGTAGATTAAGAAGAGAAAATAACAAAAACCTTAATCTTGTTCATTCTTAACGATATTCCCTGATTATTATGACTGACTAGATATTTGCGATCATTTTGAAATATGTCATCAAGTTTTCCATTGCTGTTTAAAAAATCTTCTAACTGTGAGTAATAATATAAAAAGAAAACAATGAAGATGAAAAATGGTTCAAAATTATTCTGATAGATGTTTGTTCAGGCTACAATTTCCTGTCAAAAGCATTCCTTTAGACTAATATTTCGTTTTTGCCTACATCTTCGACTTTTTAAACTGTCAATATAGAGATAGAACCATTCAATCATTACATATATAGCGTTAGAGTGAAAGGAAAGTCATAATCATGCGGAAAGAAATAATAAATCTTTCATAGATGACTGGACGGAAATCAATCTGCTAGATAGACTTAATAACGGTGTACCTTAATTCAAATTGATCTGAAGTTCTCGTTTAAACAATGCATGCATCGAAAATCATTACTCTAGTTTTTGGTTTTGACTCGAGTTTGATTACGACAATAAGATGTGTCCGGGTCTCGTCATTTCAAACTAAAATTACTTTTGCTGATCTCAAATTGTGATGTTATCTGTTTTAATGATGTAGAATTTACACGTTGGGATCATTATTTAGTCAGTAATTCGAAAAAATAAAAAATTTTCTTTTATTTCGAGACTGAAAGCTCTGAGAGCTTTTCAAGTGCCACAAAAACAGCTATTTTTAAAAATGTCAAAAAATGGCCTCGTAAGTCAAAAGTGCCAACAACGAGTATACGTCATGCTACTGATAATTTAGGTAGTGAAGGGTGTGAATATTCTTGGATTGGAAACACAACCATACGCTCAGCCTCAAAACTTTCTTGAAAATAACCGTTTGTACTTATTGTCTTAAAACATTGATAATTTTGTATCATACATTCAATGTATCACCATGAATAGGTCTTTTTCATTATTCCAGATGACTTCTGGCAAGACATTCGAACACGAAATACCTTGATGTTGTTTTTGCTAAAAACATTAATGAGTTGTACAAAGAGAAATTTTCCGAACGATCACAATGGCACTTCTAATTCAGTTTGATGATTCACTCAAACTCGATACATTTTGTGACAGAATTTCCATGAGCTATTTGTAAGTAGATAGCTGCATTAGATTTCAAATGTAAGTGTGAACAAATACTTGAATGAGGTAAACGAAATTGCTTTTGATAATTTTCTCTCAATCGAACAGCGATTTCAGCAGAGTGAGTGCTACCTTAATTGGCTAATTATCGTATAATTTTGTTCGAAGAACGTTGCCAACAAAAAAATAGCCGAGAGTGACGGTATGGAGTCTGAGTATCTCTGTATGGATCTTCTATTTTCTAATACCTATCCACATTCTATAACTGCATTGAACTCTACTATCAACGATAAAAACAATCGGCAAGTGAGTGTTTGTTCAAAGAGAAAGACATTACAAGCGTTTTCTCTGTTTTCGAAGCAAATTATTCTCTCAAACGAAAACTGAAGTACAAGGAGAATTTTGTTTTTCTGCTCAAAGCACTGAAGTCATTCTCTGTTTTCTCTTTGGCGACAGAGCGCATTGATTCAAGGTAAGTGTATCACAAAACAGAACGCATTGCGTCGACGACTGTTAACTTTTTTACTCATTCTCTACATGTCTTTTTTTCATCTTTGAAATGGTTCTGTCTTAAAAGTATCTTCTCTTCTCGAAATATTTCGTTTCAATCGATTTTGCCGGTTGTTAGATTCAGAAGTGCTTATAATAAGGGAAGTATTAATTTTCATAGCGTTGTTGTTAAGAATTCTTTTCGAATCAGTGTAGGTCCCAAGAAAAATCAGACATCAAATATTTGATAATGACGTACATAGGTTGTATACGCCGGTAGCAGGTAAAAAAAGAAAGAAAGAAGGAGAGAAAAAACACCCTTAGTCGAAAAATAACGAGGAAGGAACAATTTCAGCACTTACAAAAACTGCTGTCATTGCACAAGATGAGTTAAATGCTATTCACTCGCGTCATACAGAAAAAAAAATGACTTCAACATTTAGTTTTGATTTTATGAAACTCATCCGAATAGAAGACACTATTGTATACCGCGTCTGATGTACTACTCTTCCTTCTGCAAAGGTCTTTTGCTTTGGTAATGGAATAATGTTGACACCAATTCGAGTCTGTCTCTATTTCTTAGATATAAGAGCTTCATTCTAGACGAAGTCGAGTAGTTCTTGATTTTGTTTTGCGAGAAATAAAACTGAAATGTATTTTACCTATAGATTTATGTTCCCCGTAGTGTGTTAAGTATGCACCAATACCATTTTGAAAATGTGAAGAGAAGGAATGAAGTATACACTCACTTCAAGATACTACCCCATGAATGTAAAACTTAGTTGCTTCCGTACGGAATTTCTAGATTTTATATAGATATACTGTTCTAATCGAAATGTCTGTCTATTGTACTGGAACATTTATTGGTCAGCGAGTCACCGATTCTTCAATATCTAGTGATATCATTGGACAACATTCATTGAAATTTACGCTAAGTTTCACTCCAACAAAACGATATCCATCAGCATTTGGTGCTGGATTTTATGATGGTGATCCAACAATATCATCAAGTAGTATAATACATGGTACTTATCATGCAGTAACGCAAGAAGCTTCTCTAATAGAAATGATGAATGGTACAGCAATGTATGAATATCAATGCAAATTAACAGTTGATAAAACCGTTGGAACCACCTATTTATATGGCACTTGGAAATCATTGGTAAATTCCAACATTTTTGGTAAACTGGTAATGATTAGTGAGTCAGATAGTATCAATGATTGTATATCGGGAATATGGACGGGTGAAGCTCAACCAGCTGAAGAACTTGCCGATTTTTTCATTCCTGTTAATCCAATTCGATGGTGTGCTACGCTATTTCGAACCAACAATGATACATGGCAAATGTTTGGTAGCGGCTATTTCAATGATTCAGCTGATATACCCAATCAGCCATTGTTATTCTTTTCATTGGATGGGAAAGGAACACTCGATGATATGAAGATTATTAAGAAATATGCAACGATCGAATACAATGTAGAATATCGAGGGAAAATTAGCAAATGTGAAACAGACGCATATGTATTTACGGGTAATTGGTCAAATGCTCAAGCCGGCAGTTATGGATCATTTCATGCTGAACAATGTCAATTGAACCCTATGTTTACATATAGACTTGATATATGTTTATGTGCTGTATGTACAAATATACTTAATCCAGGTGATAACCGTTGGTTTTGTGCTCCATGCCATTTTGCAACGTGCCCTGGATGTAATCTTAACGATGTAGCCATGGCTCATCCACATAAATTAGTACCACATATTCTTCCTACTCAAAAAAAAGCTCATGGTTCAACGTCTGTTGAATTGATCAGCAATGCTTTTAAAGTATTCGGATCATCACCATTTATCAGTTTCAGAAGTCGAGAGACCGGACAGTTAGTATGGTTAACATACAATGATATGTCATCAAAATGTTATGCATTAGCAAAATACTGGAAACAATTTCTTTCGAATATCAATCAAAATGCTAGACCATTCATAGTACTCTTAGCTGATACTTCACTCGCTTATATTGCTTCACTATTAGCAGGACTTTTGTGTCAAGCTGTGGTTGTTCCAATGAATGGTGCTCTGGAAGTCGACGTTTTAAAACATGTTTTATCAACAACCGATCCATCTATTATTATTGTTGGCGAACAATACTTTGATAAGATTTCAAGCATTTTAGTACCGAAATCGAGTACATTAATAATGACAATTAGTCAAAAAGAAGAACAGTTTCAACCAGTCACATCGGTTTTGAAAGATTCAATTTCGCTGACAATTGCTCTCGAATTAGGTGCCAAAATTCAGAATGATATTCTATCGAATTCCCCTTTATCTAATGACACGATTTCAGCCATTCTTTCGACTTCTGGCAGTACAGGATACCCGAAAGGAGCAATATTCACTGAAGATCTACTAATTCCCAAGGATTCATCTACGCTCATATCGCCATTTATTCGTATCGATTATCAGCCATTTGATCCTGTTTTAGTACTATCGCTGATGAGTACGATGCAATACGGTAGTAGTCGAGGTCTAACAAATCTAAAAGATATGTGGGATGACATAAGAGATATAAGACCAACAAGTCTTGGTTTAAGTCCAGCAATATGGACCTTTTTATATAAAATCTATTTGAGAAAGTTAACAGGACATTCAACAGACGAACAGCGAGAGAACGCAGCAAGAGAAATGCAACAAAGTTTAGGCGGTCGAGTAATAAGTGGAACGTCGGGTGGTGGCTCAATTTCTGCGTCAATATTATTCTTCATTCGAAATGTATTAAAAATCGATGTTGTCGATATGTATGGTTGTCGAGAATGTGGTAATATTTCCAGAGATGGTATTCTTTATCCAGGTGTTGATGTTAAATTAATTCCCGTGCCTGATTTAGAATTAGATGGTGAGACAGAAGGTGAAATTTGTATACATTCACCTCGAATGATTTCTGGCTATTGGGGAATCGATAATCATTCATCTTTTATTGATATTGATGGAAAACGATACTATAAAACCGGTGATATTGGAATGCTAAATCAACGAGAACTAAAACTGCTCGATCGATCAGGTACAATGATAAAGAACTCGCTAGCTGAATGGATTTCACCAGTCAAAATTGAAAATATTTTGNAATTCAAATTGCTCCTTCTGACGACACTACTGTTAGCTTGAAATTTAATGCCTTCATGCACTTTTGCCATAAATGCTACCCTTCGAATCCAACAGGTGTCTTTTTTTACTTACATTCGATTATTTTCGAACAAAAGAAATTCTCGTTTGCCACTAAACAAATATCAAATTTTGACTTCAAGTCTTTCTTATACATATATAGAAAAATAGACTTCATCAAAAAATTTTGAAAATGTTATTCGAAGACAAAAGCAGAGATATTATATCTAGATATTTAAATAGTTGGTTTTATGAACTTCATTTCTTCATATATATATATACCATGGATGAGAACTTCGAGTCACAATTTCAACGAGATATAAATCAATTCAGAGTTTTGTGCTGATTTTAAATGGAGCTTCTTTTACTCGAGAATTGTCAAATATAAATAAATAAAGACACAAATTTGTCTGAAATATAACAATTAGAACAAAAGTACTTTACTCAAAATCGAACTTCAAGTTGAAAATAATGTCGTCAGAAGAAATGCATTGAATTAGATATTCGATGAGATTTTCAAACTAATGTAATTAAATTTATATTCTTTGCGATGCTTGGTCCGTAATTTGACACATCTCTGTATTCATCTTTTTTTGTCTCAATAGATAAACAGCAACATAATTATCAGTGTCTCGAGAATTGTCTATCGATTTGAGCACATTTTTATTGCAATAAATCTGTTTGATCAACTTGTTTCTTATTGTCAAAGTTTTGAGTTTGTCTACAACTTCTAATTTCTTTTTTAATAGTAAAACTTTGCCTAATCTATAGTAGCTTATTATATAATCAGTAATTCAATTTTTGTTTCTTTTCTTTCATATAATCACTTTTTCGAACATTTTCAATTTCTCTATTAAGTACTTGATTACGGTGACGATCAAGACAAAATTTAGTAATTATTACAATAAAGGAAAATATGAATGAAAATTTTGTGGACATACGAATGGCTCTTTTATAACGAGACATTGTATTTTAGCACAATGGACACGTGCTGAATCATTAGTTAAATTATTTGTTAAAATTGATAATGTTTCATATTGGATTTGAAGACTTAATAGACGAGGTAGATGAGCATTTCTTTCATAAAGAAATTGTTCAACATAATCAATATGCTTCAAATTCAAATGAAGTTTGACAATATGTGAAAATGTAATGAATGGAAGTAAATATCGCTTCTTTCGCTGTGCTACAGCATTAAATATAGAGAATTTTTTGAGAAAAGTAAAGTCTTGAGAAATAATTTTGAATAATTCATATTCAAATGGAATTCTATCAACCATCGAACTTTCCACCTGAAAAACTACTGGCCATATAAACAAAGACATCAACTGGATATGGACTTGAATAAGTATAACACTCATTTCGTATCTTAGATGAATTTTTAGTAATATAAGAGCCAACTTGATACATTCCTCTTTCGAGAAAACCATGTTGTATGTTTTCATTTGATGGAAGATCAATTTTTTCCTGAATATTATGCATAACAGTTGTTATACTAAACATAAGTTTGTTTAATCGTGGTATATGAATAAGAATCTCATCATATAAATGAATATCATCTATATCAGTCAAATTGATTCTTATTACTGCAAGAAGTAATGTCAATTCTTCAAGATTCGACATTCGACGAAGCAATGAAGCAATTTGACTGTCATAATAGAATGTACGACAATATGATTTTAATGAAAAATACTTCAATTTAGGAAGTTTCTTCTATTAAAAACAAAATAGACAAAAAAGAATCAATTTTTAATTGAACTCTTTTGTTCAAATATAGAAATTATTATCTATATTCGATGGTACATAGCTAACTTGAAGTAGATTGATAATCAATATGGACTAAGATTCTAAACGTCCATCAAGAAGATAAAAACAATCATCGAAAGTATTTGCAAATATGTTTGAATTAGTTAAAGCCGAAGATACACAACTTGTTGACGATAGATTATAAATTGAAATTGTTAGATTTTCATCATTGAACCATTATTGAAAGGTTAAATCATTTAGATTTCTACATATAGATAATATCAATGACAATATTTTTGATTTATTTTCGACAGAAAAATTTGATATTATTTTATCATTAATAAAACGACGAAGAATTGTATTATCTTAAAAATTTATTAAAAAAAATTGGTGTTCAATATTTTACAACACAAATACTTGGCTAATTTGAAAATTATATCTATTAAATATCGTAATACTATATCCTGTGAAAAATTCACAACTGATAAAGAGTAAAGTTGAGCATAATCAATAGCATGAAAGATACGTTCGATAGAAAGTAGTTCAATGATAAGTTTTATTTACTTGATCATTAATTCGAGGTAAAATTTTTTTAGAAATTCGATTGAGAGTTTGATTATCAATGAAATAAATATCATCCAACATAATGAATCAAATATTAATTGATCAAATCCATCGATTTTATTCATTTTATTAATAATAGCAAGTAATATTTCATTTGGCAGATCGACTACATATATGAAGTATTCATATCGAAATGAATGTTGTATTTGTTTGTTCTGTATGTATATATATATATATACGTTGATAATTCACCTTGCATTGCCAACTATAAGATTAATGCTATTCGTCATGTTAAACAATGATGCCAACGGCTGATATTTTTTATTTTTCTAAGAGCAATTTTTGTTTTCACAAATAGTGTCAACGATCTCTTAGATTTTAAATTAAATTAAAAAGTGTAACTTATAGGAGACGCAATGCCCATCTGCTCTCAGAATAGAGTCCTACAACTCAACCCACAACCTGTCGGCTGGTATGAATTCCACTTTTTCGGGTTTATTTTCCTAATATAATCTACCGCTCTCTATGTATATTCCTACGATGGATTTAAAAGTCAGTGTGTGAAAAAGCTATCGGTATTTGTTATCCACACATACATATCATATGTGTAGCTCCAATAATTTATCGTTCCACTCTACAATATGAACAAATCGATGAGGATCTACACGTATCATCGTACATATATATGCTTGAAAATAATTGTAAAATTCTTTTTAATATTGCCTCAAATAAAACTAAAAAAGTATTATACTAGCATGTACTAGTGTTTAATGTTTTTGAAAGCTTATAAAAGAATGCAACAATATTGTCATAATTCTTTAACATCTGACATTTTACAATTTTATAATAGTATATTCATTTAATAACCTGGCAAATTTTCGAAAATTTTCTTGTTACTATATGAATGATTAATGTATTCTAGAGTCACATTTGAGCTAATTAGTTTCCCTTGATATCTATTCTGTATCTTTATAAAGATTGAAATTTCTATCGAATTACAATATGTGAAAAAAGCTAATTTAACATAAACCAACGTATAAAATTTTCGATTGAGTCAGATTTTGGGTTCAAAAGAATTGAACTTGAGCAGAACTCTACCTTTCTAATTCAGAATGCACTATCATTCTCCCTCTGTTCGATTGAAAGCTATATATGTCATTCACTTTATCTTATTTGGCTTCGTCGTAGAATATAGATGAACGAGCAACATAGAGATTGTTTATGAAAGCATCTCTAGTATTCTACTCTACGGATTCTATTTCATGCTTTTTATCCTTTGGTCCGTGGCAACTTACACATTTTGTCTTACTGCACAGGATGTTTGCATTATGCATCTATTCTCGATTGTCATATTAATACAGAGGCTATCGATAGTGGACTTTATTTTGGATGAAGCGTTCGCTCGAAATTTACGTTTACCACTTGTTTTTATTTGTGAATAATTCATGGATTATATTGATAATCATTTTGATGAGAAAAAGATTCGATATTTTCTATTAGTTTTCAAGAAAGTGATTTCATTTTTAAGTTATGCAAATAGGACTCATTCAGATGACAAATCATAGGACTAGTAAGAATAATGGATGTAATGTTTAGATTTCGTCAAGCAGAGGTTAACCATTATTTTTCATTTTCCACTGATCCATCATTAAGATGAACAGTTGTCACACTATCCAATGTTGTATTAATTTAATTTCTTTCATTTTTGCTCCTATCGAAATATTCTTATATACATACCAATGGAAAAAAATAACTGCAGTTGGTATATTGAGAATATTATCAGTATAAACATATGTCTTTAGCAAAAAAAAATGAAATATTCTGAAAGCGCTTGTAATTTTCACTTATGTATTAGAACATAGATCGACTACAATGAAGACATCGTCAATTGACAAGTTCGAAAATTCGCTGCCTTTTATTTGTTTTTCTAATCATAGTTATTCTGTTGTATCATCTCATATCTGTTCATCTTATCTTTTATTTATACACTGCAGAATAATTTGAGTGTTATGCAGGCATGTTTCTTGACAAACTGTGAAAAAAACTGAGTCTTTTAATTGTGTATCTTTCGCTTTTGTTTCAAACGTTTTGAGTAACTGAGAATGTAGAAAAAACAAATGAAAGGCAGAGAATTCCATTAAAGTCATACAGATCAATATACTAAGATGAAAAAAAATAATAGATATTAATCTGTTTTTCTCGATTACTAATGTGTTTCTTTATGAAAAAATATGTTGATCTTCTTACAAAATATCTTTTTTGAAAGTTTTTTATGAAAAAAATGTGTACATGTTTATGTCCAAATAATTATTCGCATCTTTTCTATTTGAACATTAAGAAAGTGTGAGTATCGATTTGGTCTCATAACATGAATGAAAATCGTAGTTTGTTATCGAATTCGAATAATGAATATTCGTTCTATTGTTCGTTCTCTACATAATATTTCATGAGGTGATACTCATAAGTGATTGAGCAGTGCCTTGAAATAAATGAGCTGAAGAAATGGAACAGCTCATTAGTATTTTCAGTTGTTCAACCTGAAATATCCAAAAAATTTAATATTCAATACCGAAACATTACGATTTTTGTCATTTATTTATCCTGTGTTCCTTATTAGCATGTTTTCCTTTTAAATTATTCTCTATTTGTCTGAAGAGGGTGTGGGTGGGTGAGTGGGTGTGGATCTGAATGTAGATCTTCTTTTTACCCACACCCACCCTTTGGGGTATAGCCCCGCTTTTTTGGTGGATAACACCACTTTGAAATCGTTCCATCGGATAGAGAATTAAATTCTGCATCTAAAACACTCAATTAGAAAGTTAACACAAGTCGTAGAGCGAATCGGGACAAGAAATATAGGATATTTGTTGTTGTTGCACAGAGAAAAAGGCAGTATTTCGGGTAAAAGTGGTGGTTTTTGCCCGATGACCCCCTTGAAACTTGTATCATTCGATAGAGCATAAAATTCTGCACCTAACACAAGTGCTTAGAGAGTTAACACAGGTAAGAAAGCGAATCGGGACAAGAAATACTCGAATCTGGTGCTAACTTTACTTACGTATCAGACTGTCAAAAATGTGACATGAGAGAGAGAGAGAAAGAGAGATACGGTTTTGGTAGTTTGGCGAAGAAAGACAGTCATAGCAAAAACTAAAGATTTCTATCTTTTTCCGATATAAGGTTGTTGAAAAACTATCACGACTTGGTGTTTGATTAATTATTAGGCATAATAAATGTTTTTAGTGTAAAAATATTATTAATGATTAGTTTATATCGAAAACAAATCATCTGCAAAAGAATACATTTTTTCATGTCATTCAACTTCAAAGACCGAAACGGGGACGATTTTTCGCTCCCCGCCCCGTCTTCTCTTCACAAATTATTATTATTACTTTAGTGTGGAGCTTGAGTTTGGATATGTGTGTGTCGGCGAAGAGAAGACACCCACAACCAAATATTAGCTGCTATTGACTGTGTACCCACCCTACACCTGCCTTCGTTACGAAGATAGAATTTCGTAGCGCAGAGTCTAAAGACTTGCGGAGTCATGTTTTTCTAACTACGATTTCCACTCCGAAAAATTCTGGAATTCCTGTCAGTTGCCGACAGCTTACATGTGAGACGATACTATATAATCCGAATGGATAGATATATGAGTGCTAGTCAGAAAAGAAAAACTGGTTGAATCTCAAGTTTTTTTTGTCGATCATAGATACTCTTAATGACAGGTGGCCAGATCTTTTGAAAAATAGAGAAAGTTTCTGATTTTGACGCCTTCGCCTGATTTTTTCCGAATTCGAAACATCCCAGGTCGAGAAATCAGAGCGTAAGATCTTATCAGATCATAACTGTGGTCTTCTATGATCTTATAGGATCAGATGAAAACCGTACCAAAAAACGCAGTCTCAGAAATCTTAGATAAGGTCGTACTTTAAGATTCTTGAAAGATCTTGCTGTCCCGTACGATATTACTCTAAGATTATAGAAAATTTCATGCGGCAGTAAGATCTTTCAAGCATCTTGTAGTATGATCCAGAGCTGCCACCAGGCCAGACTGAATTTTGAAATTCTAGCTTGGGCTGATCCGTTGATATTATACTGAACCAGGCCAACAGACTATATGAGCCCAAAGTTATTGGCCTGATTTAGGTCTTTTTTGTGTGAGAAATATTTATGACAATATATCTTGTTGTATGAGTTTGCTATTATGTACAAGAACTTAGTATTCAATTATCGTTATGAAAATAGAAATAAGTAGCTGAAACTAGAACGATATGTATATGTAAAACTATGGGATTTATTGGATTTGAAAAATTAGACACATCAGTCTGTCAAGTTGATTTCTGCTGGCCTGGCAGGCTGGTCTGGTGGCAGCTCTGTTATGATCTGATGTCAAATTTCTGAGAGTGCGTTTTTTTGTAAGATTTTCATACGATTTCGTCTTGGTCTGCAAGAACTGACGTCTGCTTTTTTGACCTGAGTTTTTCAAATCACAGCTTTGCTACTGAAATTAGGTGCAATTATAACTCATTACTTAACCAATGGATCCTGTGCCATCGTTTTTCGGCATTAATTATCTTTTCTATTTCTCTTTCAAATTCTGATATCAAATCGATTTTTAATCACATGAAGCACTTATGGTCAGATTATCATAATCGAACGGATATAGAATTAGATAATGCTGAACTTAAAATAACAATGAATGGTAATTATTCTTGAGAACTATTTTTACAAACATCCATTATCTCAAACACATCTGTTAAAGTAAATTCGAAAACATGCGAAATACGAATCATAATGTTGAAATAATGCTACCCAGGTAAATGGATCTGATATCGGACCCAACCGAATCTGATCGGATCCAATCAACCGACAAAATTCTGTGGGAATTTAGGTTGAGGAACTACTAACGAATCCGATGGGTGAAATCTATTTAATTAGTTAAGTATTAATTAATATCTGATGCCAACAGCAGCGGTCGATCAGAGCCCTCTGTTGGATTCCATGGAATTCCGATAGTAGGATCCCATTGGAATCCAACACTAGGAAGCCAGGAGTCGTTCCGCAACCTGGGTTCCAAT